CAAAAGCATGAAGCTGACTCCACATCCTGATAAACCCCCTTTTATTTAGTTTAAAGTGAATTCCTCTCCAGCAAAGACCTGGCCAACAGTTTTTCAAGAGATTTCACAACTACAGCCCTTTATCAGGCTTGCAGAGTTGCCAGGCCGATATCTTCCAAACACTACTCTGTAGCAGATAATACTTGGCAAGAAGTCAAGAACAGATCTTCACCCTAATGAATTGAACGAATTATCTTCTGCAAACTCCACTCCCCTTTCGCTCCTCTTTATTCCCTATGGGAGGGGCCATTTACCGTCCACCTGTGCCTTTAATCCTGAGTTGGCTCTTGTTCCTTAGCTGTTCTCTTCATCTGGCAACTCTGCACATGTGCACGTTGGGAACAGGCTCCAGTTGTTCTTCTGCCCCACTGATGTCCAATTCCAGAGGCAGCTGATAACTGTCAGATGGCCCTGGCTCCATCTCTGCCTTCGACGTAGAGCACTCGTCAGAGTCTTCCCCAGAGTCCATGACTGGCCCATGTTCCTCCCCAACCTCCTCACTGTCCGAAACTGCTGCCAGATCCACTGGCTGTTGGCGGGCCACAACATTCATTGTAAAGAACATGAAATGAACATGAACAGTTTATTACAGTTAGTCCTCAACCTACGACCACAATTGAGCCCGAAATTTCTGTTGCTAAGCGAGACAGTTGTTATGTTGTTTAAATATTCACTAAATGAAAGGTCGCAAGTTGAAGACAACCTGTATTTCAGATTTTATCTTTTAGCTAGCCAAATATATTTGACACCATTCAATGAGTTTAAATAATCTGATTATTCCCAGAAGATGTACTGGATTATTGAAATAGATAAAGGGTACCACATCTATTGACCTGCTGTGCCCAGTTCACCCTGTGGAAATGTTAGTGTTTATTTTATTTATTTATTAGAAAATTTATATTGCTGTCTACTTGCACATGGCAATTCAAGGAGGCTTACAAAGATGTAAAAACACAGTATAAGAGAAATAATAATAAAAAAGAAAAATAATAAAACAATAGCCTCCCACCCCAATATATATTGCTAGTCCATGTATAATGTGCCATACACTAAATAAATATGAACACCCTATAGCTTATGATTGCAGCATGTGTGTCTATTGGTATCTTAGCATTTCTTTAGATTTTTTTTCTGGTTTTCTTAAATGTTAGTAAAATGATAGCATAGACGTATTGTTGGTTCGTCAAGAAGAGTATATAACAAATTTAAATCTTCCCAAAAACGCTGATCTGTGTTTTCAGATTACAAAGGGAACATCTAGCTGCAAACAAACAACTAAACGAAGAGTTAGAAGAAAAGAAGAAAGTAATTAAAGACCTCTCTGAGACACTCCAGGATAATGAAAAAAGTTACAAAGAATTACAGACTGAACTTCTTCTGGTAAGAGAGAAACCCTGAGGCATTTCTTTTATTGGTGCGAACATGCTATGCTTATTGCTATATTCTTTTTTCTTTAGAAACCTTTCTATTAAAAAAAAACATTTAAAAGAGTGTCTAATCTTGTTTAAGGTTTGTGGACTTCAACTCCCAGAATTCCCCAGCCAGCTGAGGAATTCTGGGAGTTGAAATCCACAAGTCTTAAAGTTATCAGACTTGTAACCAAATCTGTTCGTGAAATAACACAATTCATAAATAAATAGATTCAACTTGTGGCCAGCTCAACAGTATAAGTCAAGGGTATCAAACTTGATTTCATTGAGGGCCACATCAGGATTGTGTTTGGTCTTAGGTGGCTGAGTGGGCGTGGCCAGGGTGGGCATAGCCAGCTTGATGTCTGCAGTTTGCGCATGGCCCTTCCGGGCTCAGTTTTCAGCTGCGACGGCCTCATGCAGCCCTCTGCCAGCAAAAACGGAGCCAAGGAGGGCTGCTCACAGCTCTCTCTAGCTCCGTTTTCATTGGCAGAGGCACCACAGGCCGGTCCTTTGTTGTTTCCAGGGCAGCCCTGTGTGCCAAATCTAAGCCCCCCATGGGCCGGATCTGTTCCATGTGCCTTGAGTTTGACACTCCAGTATAAACCTATAGTTTGACAACATCCATTAAGGACCAATAAAATGGATGTTGTAATTAGGGAAGGAAAGAATATGGATGTTTCAGAAGGAGCTGCATGTTACACAACTTTTTGCATGCAATGCACTACTCATGAATCCGCCTGATCACTAAACCTAACCTTTCAATTTTTGCATATTTTCCCCTCAAAATAAACTTCTTTTGAATCTGAGTGTGGCTGTTTTGAGGTTTATATTGGTTTTTCCAAAGAACCCATGATTGGTTTGCCGAAGATATGAACAAAGAGAGTTTATATACTGATCTGGAATTTAGCCTTTCAGGTTGTGTCAATGCATTCTTGGGAGTATGAAAAAAAGTGATTTAATTTAAAATGTTCTACTCTAAGCGGGTCGTGACTTCTTTTTACTATCCCTGTATGTAATCCAGATTCATCATCTTATCCCAAACTGTCATCAGGTACCAAATCGAGTTGTGAGATGAATGTAATGGCGGTTAAATATGGCTATGGATCAGTGGTGGATTCCTAACCGGTTTACTACTGGTTCGCTGAGCGGGTGTTTTGCGTGTGCTAGCAAAGTGAATAGCGCCCGCCTGCCGCACATTGCTGCACATGTGCAGTTGATTGAAAACTGTGCAAAAATATGCTGGCAACAGCAGAAGAGACTGGGGAAACGGTTTGGGGGCATGACAGGCCTGGGTCACTGCTGGATCCAGCATCCTAGGCCGCCATATCACTACCGGTTCGGCCAAACCGGATCGAACTGGTAGGAACCCACCACTACTATGCATCCAGATCCTTTCAGGGTCTTAAAATGAAACACACAATGGCTCTTTAAACAGCACCTTTGAAGTAACTGCATTTCATCAACTGAACGGGAAAGAAAAGGGTTGTGCTCCACATAATATTCTCCATATCATTTTAAAATTTCCTATCAATTAGCTAGAAAAATAGCTGGAGCATACTAGTAAGGGGAGCCTCATTTAGTCCAATATTCTGTTTCCTGTAGTAGCTAGCCATCTACCTAACAGAAATCTAAAAAAGGGTAGGAGCTACCTCTTCCTAATGTTTTGCAGCTGCTAGTACAGTAAGAGACGAAGAAAACTACTTTTTGTTGTAGAAATAACAAGTAGTCACTGATAGCTTTATACCTTATTGCACGAGTGTCAAACTTGCTGTGTCATGTTGCCGTTACATGACGTATCACAATGTTTTTCTCTTTGTGGAGTTGGAGTAGGCGTGGCCTGCATGTAATCCATGTGGCCCATAGGCCACCAGTTTGACTCTCCTGCCTTATTTACCTAATCACCTTTTAAGCAGATCAGCTTGATAGCTACCATTGCATCCTGCAGTAGTGAATTCCATTGATTATGTAGATAATGTGGGAAGACATATTTCCTTTTGACTGTCTGGGCCTCTCCTCCTTCATTGAATGATTAGGTTTTTCAATATTAAGAGGGAGAATTCTTTCTAATTAGGTGACAGGTGTGACTAAATAGATGGAAAAAAGTTTTTTAATCTTTGAGCATTCTGTTTTTCCCTCTACAACTTCACATTTATGTTGAAGTTTTTCCCCCCACATACCCATCGTCGATAATAATTCTCTAAATTAAACTCAGATACTATGGATTTAAGTATTCTGTGGCTCCATGTTCACGTACAAGTGGACTGAGAATAAAGGGGACTTTGAAGTCCTTAACACTTAAATCTTTGTGTCTTGATATCTTTTGCTTAGATTGTATAGCTAAATTTTGGATTACATTTCACTGCTTTGGTTTTGTACTTTTTCTGTCTATGACTGCATATTTAAAAATGGACCATTTTTTAGAATATTGTTCTGCTTTAAAATAATTGAAAAAACACTCAAGAAAGAACTTTCGTTAGACATTAAATAAGTAAGGGTTTTAATAGTAATTTTAGTAAACATATAATTAAAAAAATAAAGAGTAATACACACTAAAAAGAATAAAAAGAAAAAATGGAAAGTGGAGAAAAATAAAAAATAGAAAGAAAAATAGAAATGAAAGAAAAAAAATACAATATACTAAAGCAAAAGAAAATATAGAGAGATATGACATCAGCCATCATCACTACAAATGTAAACAATTTTACTTTTAAAATATACCATAACAAATGATGTTGTCTTTTCATATCTCATTTCTTATCTATAAATGAATCTTTAAATCCTTATTATTCAATCCTGATCAGCAGTAGGCATATCAGAGATAGCAACATATCTATTTTAACCTTGATCAAATAAACCAACTTTATATTCCTTCCTTTTACTTTTAAGAATCTTGATCTTTAAAAATGGAGCTGTCTTCAGTACATCATTTCTTCCTTGGAAGTGCCAGGTTTTTTTAATGCTATAATCAGTTGGTTCCATTTTTGCACTGAACTTCTTAATTTGGTATAATGTACAAATAAGTGTTTGATGTGCAAGAGCAAGATACAATTTGTTGCTCCGACATTTATATTGGCACACTGGAGGATTGTTGAGAAAGTAGTGTGGGTCCCTTTTACTCTTTGTACATGCTAGAAGTAACAGTATAGAAAGTGTTATTTAGCTGGCGGAAGCAATATATATATTCTTCCACATGTATGCTTGAAAGAAGTTACTTAGCAGACCTTTGTCGATTGAACCACCCTTTGGTTAATGCTGTATCCATTATATATTTGTAATATTAAGGTAAAGAAAACAATACTTGATCCATACTCTTAACATCTTCCAAGTTGAGGGGGAACAATACTTGTTTAAGAGTCTCATAAACAAAGAGCCCCCCCCCCCCCAAAGTATAGAATCAAACCATCTGTAGGTACTGTTTACTGGAGACCTTTGTCTTCTCTAGAAATACCCTTGCTTGGAGATACTGCTGTCTAAAGTTATAATAAAGTTCTTGATAGGATGTGCTACCAGACCATCTCCAGGTGTTATTTGTTCTCCCTGTTTATTAAAATCTTGGGAGGCTACTGTGTATTATAGGCAGTCCTTGACTTACAACACTTCATTTAGTAAACATTCAAAGTTACAATAGCACTGAAAAAAGTGACTTTTTTACACTTACGACGGTTTCAGCATCCTCATGGTCACATGATCAAAATTCAGATGCTCAGCAGCTGGTTCACATTTATGACACTTGCAGTGTTCCAGAATCATACGATCACGTTTTGCGTCTTTCTGACAAGAAAAGTCAATGGGGAAGCCAGATTCACTTAACAACCGGGTTACTAACTTAACAAAGGCAATGATTCCCTTAACAACTGTGGCAATAAAAGTCATAAAATGGGGCAAAATTCATTTAACAAATGTCTTGTTTAGCAACAAAATTTTGGGCTCAATTGTGATCGTAAGTTGAGGACTCTACCTGTATTACTGGCTTTCAGAAGGTGTGCCTGCTGTTATTCTCAGAGTTCCTGGCATGCTGAAAGGATGTGGATTGGAAATGTTTCACTGTTAACATTAATATTAATTCAAAAAAATCCTAAATAGCAAGTCACCCTAGTTTGAGTCTATTGCTTTCAAATGCTAGCATACCTATTGAACAGAACATTATTACTATTACATAAACTTTCCTCTTTTTGCATATCAGTTCTTTCACTGTGCTATCTTGATATACTATGAAAGCAGTAAACTCCATTTTAATTCTGATTTTGAAGAGAGAAAACAATGTATTCCCTTGCTTTGTTGTGGGGGGGGGAGTTCAAACTTTAAATTGAACAATGGAAACCTCAAGTAGATTCATTGTTGGAAAACACTTAAATGCACTTCTCCATTTCAAGAACCTTCTGTGGATCAAAACTTATTATGTGCTCTCTTGCTATTTTATCTGCCCCAACTGGTATTAAACCTCTTTGTGGTCTCATTCACTGACCATAATTTGGATACCCTTTAGCTGCTTCTAGACTATTAAGTATGGAAGCAATTTAAATTCATATACTTTTAAGACCAGTTAGGGGACTATTACAATTATCTAGTCTGACCTCATATGCATACTGGCTACAAAATTCATCCTGGTTGAATTGAAGTGTACCTTCCACAGAGATTTCATATTTCATTTAGAAACTCCATGCAGTAAGTTGTTTGATAAGTGGTTCACGGTAATCATACACAGTATATGAAATTGAATCTCTTTCTTTATTTGTAACTTTTGCTTTTAGGGATTAAAATGTGTTTCACGCTGTATTTGCATTGCCAAGGCCTCAGACTCTAATGCAACCCTGAAACATGGTTGAAGGATATAATAAAGCCACAGGGTTAAATACTTGTCCATCTTTCTATAGGTGATTAGACCACAATTAGAGGTTATGCGTTTACTGTTGTTACTTTTGCCTAACACTAAATTCTAACTCTAGTTAATAAGCTGTGATGGACTAT